TTTTTAGATGTGTGACTGTAAAGTTTCCAGGAGTAGTTTTCATTATGTTTACCCTGCTTGGAGTCCTCTGAGCTTCCTGGATCTAATGTAATATTTTTCATCAATTTGGGGGAATTTTTTGGCCATTATTACTTTAAATATGTTTCTGGTTTATTCTCTCTTTCTTCTCCTCCTACACTACTTTATTAGGAGGCTTGATACTGTCACACAAGTTTTTAGTAGCTCTTTTAAGTTTTTTTCAACATTTTTCTGTGTTTTTTATGTTAGATAATTTTTTCGATTCATCTTCAAGTCTACTGGTTATTTCTTCTACTATCCTGCAATTGTCAATCTGTTATTAAAACTCATGCATAAACTTTTCCTTGCAGTCATTATAAATTTCAGTTCTAGAATTTGCCATTTTTTAAAAGTTTCCATTTCTTTGCTGAGAGTTCCTAGTCTACACTCATTGACCACATAAACATCATAACCATATCTTCCTTTAAGTCACTGAACTATTTAATACAGTTGACTGAATATCCCTTATTTGCTAATTGGATCTCAGGTTTTGTTGGTTTATATGGAATGCTATTTTTTTAGAAAAAGTGTCCCATTATCCTGTGCTTCATGTATCTTATTTTTTTTAACCAGCATCAAAGAATTGTACCATGTATCAATACAACTTATATATTATTGACTTTCTGATTTTTAATAATCCTCTAAAGAATGTTGATTTTTTTTTATTAGGAATTATTAGCAAATGGACTGTCATCTGGTGCAGGATTAGTTTATACTGTTTTCAGGTTAGTTTCAGTTTTGTCCTTAGGTTTAGAGCAGATCCTTAGTCCTAGAATAGAGAAGGGTTTTTGTCCTCCTAGGGTTTCTAGGGAAAGTGTAGGTATTTATTATGATCCTCTAACTTGGTGGATATAGACTCCAAACTCGGTATCTCCTGCAGTGAGTGGCCACTGAACTATGGTTCAGCTTTTTCAGTCTTTCAGTTTTTGCTTTTCTCCAGGCTTCTTGGTGTCTTTCCCCCTTTTACCCAAAAACAAACATCTAAGGGAAGTTTGCATACAGATTTGGAGTCTTACCTCCCTTGTTGTTACTCTTTTCTGTGATTTCCGCTCTCTGAGAGGCTCTGGCAGGCCCACACTCTCTTTTTAAATCTCAGACCAGGGGGTGCCTGGGTTGCTCAGTTGGTTAAGTGTCTTCCTTCCACTCAGGTCATGATCCCAGGGTCTTGGGATCAAGGTCCACATTGGGCTTCATGCTCAGCGGGGAGCCTACTTCTCCCTCTGCTGCTTCCCCTGCTGGTTCCCTCTCTCTGTCAAATAAATAAGATCTTTACATACACACACACACACACACACACACACACACACACACACACACACACACACAATAAATCTCCAACCATAAAATAGCTGCCTTTGGATTCTAGCCATCCTGCCCCTGTAGGATTGAGGGTTTTCCTGGGATGTGGGACTTCCCATGCTAATACCAGGCAAGTTCATGGCAAATAGGGAAAAATTGGTCATCCGTTAACCACCCTCAGTGGAAAAGCCACATAATCTTAGATCTCCTCCAATTCAGTTTTGTCTTTCTGTGATCAAGTGTTCAACATTCTAGTATTTTACACAGTTGTTTATTTTATATTTTGTCTACCACTTAAAATTATTATATTCAGGATGGCTAGTCAATTTCATCATTATCAGAACTAGAACCTAAGTAATATGTTTTAATTCCTCAAGTGATGAGACATTTGGTATTGTTGGATCCCCCAATAATGGGTCCATGATTAAAGGAGCGAGATGATACAAAGTGAAGGTCAAGCAAAGCTTTATTTTGCGCCAAGCATCGAGAATCAAACCAACCGGCTGGGGCCATGCCTCTTACAGAGAGTGCGGCCCCTCCCTGCCTCACAGACTAACTTTTATAGAGCAAAGGCCATTTGGTTGAGCCTGGCCACACACAGGTGGCCAATGAGATTGCAACACACAGAGAAAGCTGCACAGTCATGCTAGGTCACACACGGGTGGCCAATTGAACTACATTTCACCCCATAGTAGACATTTGAACTAGCCTATCACCTTGGTCAGAATTGGCGCCCAAAAGGCGGGGCCCACACTCCTTGGTAACTAGGGAGACAGTATGCACACTTTACCGATTGGATGTCTCCACCTGACCCGACTCATCCCTGCATTAGGGCTGTTATCTCTACCTGACCTGACACACCATTGTATTTGGGCTTTGTTACCTGGGACTGGTTTCCCAGACTTGCTTTTAAATAAGTTCCTCTGGGGGGCGGGCAGAGTCAATTTAAGTTTTACTGCATAAACAAGAAGATGGCTGTTCAATCGAGGTGGGCCGCTCTGGCTGAATAGGCCCTTACAGTATCAACAGCCAAACTGTTCTAACATTTGACCTCATAATTCACTTTTGAGCATGGTAATACTATAATAATAGTAACAATAATAAAATGTCAAATTAAAAGTAAAAATAAAACTTTATTTAGAAAAAAACTGCGAAATGAATTTCTCGGATATTGAGAACAGCTTGCTTGGATGACAGAATGTAGGTGGTAGTTTTTTCCTTTCTATTTTACAATAATTTTTAAATTTTAATATAAATATATACACATAAATACATATATTATTTACAATGGAAGTATAGCCATCATACTTATTACATAATAGTTATTTAAATATGCATTATAAACATACTTAAGTATGTAACTAAAAGGTAATTAAAAATTTAAAAAATTAAAAAAAAATTAGTGGATAAGGTAACTTACAATTACCAGTGAATTTAATATGTATTGCAAAATCTTAAAAAATACATTAAAATAATTTTCTTCAAAGCACCCACAGGCCCACAGAGGCAAAACGAAGTCTAACCAGGAATAGTGCCAGTAAAATTGTACCCAAATACTATACAAAGTAAATTTTCCTCCATGGATTCTCTTAATATGCTGAGAGGTATTCCATTATTAAAATAGATTAGAATTTATGGAGATCATTGTGATATTGATAAGGGATTAGTATATGAATTACTACTTTGTGAACGTGAAAGCATTCATTCTTCCAGGTTAATATGCTTGTCACTAAACTTGGGGAAAAAAACTTAATGTTGCAAAACTGCAAGAAGACAGAATTTTCACATCAATTTTTTAGGTGGTATGAAACCGTTTTTGAAACTAATGGCCTGCCTGTGTTTGGTATGCCCTCCTTTGTGTTTTAAAAATTAGGATACTTATCATACTTTTATTCCCAGTTCCTCTGGCAACTCTAAGTGGAAGGAGCAGTGGAAACTCATTCCAATGGGGTATAGTAACTCTTCAAGTGTGTATGTTTCCACCACTTGATTTATTCAGAAACAGCCCTTTCCTTTCATTTCTCTCCCTGGCTTGGTTTTGGTAGGCATTGGGCCCTAGTTTACAAAAACACAATAGAGTCTCTTCACTAAAAACAAAAATACAGCTATTAACAACCCAGCATCTTTTCGTAAATAAATGTAAATATAAGGAGGGCCAAAGTTCCTCACAGCACAGCAAGGAACAAGAGAATTACAAAGATAGGGATTTGCATTAGTTCTTCCTCTGTTTTAATCACAATAGAAAGAAGTCAATCGCGGCCTGCGAATAGTGTCGTTTTGATTAGATTTTGTTCCAGTGACGTAAAGTAGGGCAGTTTTCTGAAGGTGTGCAGCATTCCAAGTATGTCTGTTAGGCATTTTTTGTTTCATTTTCAGAATGAGTCTCCTCAGCTTCTGTCATTGGCAGGAGTTACCAGGAATTCTGCTGTCCTTGAGCAGTCCTTAGGATTGCGAGTGGAGTGTGGACCTATTCGTTTCCTGTTAGATTCATATGCCTCCTGGACTCCATACTAAAGTTCCCCAACTGGAAGACTTTCTTCCTGTAGAAAAGATACAGCTTTTGAAGTGACGCCCTGCTATATATACCAGCAAGGGTCTGATTTGTCCTCTTCACCTGTATTTCTCCATGTACATCTTTGCTGTGGCCTGGACTCTACAGAAAACTTGAAACACTCTTTCACTTTCTTCTTTATGATGATGAGTAATGGGGTTTCCTCAGTGGCAGACGAACTAGGATGGCACAGAGGGATATCTCCCATGTATCAGTATCCATGGTAACATTGTAGGCAAGAGGGAAGCATGCTAACACGACTCATCTACCCCACAAATTTTAAGGATTGTCACCAAGCAGAATGAAAAAAAAGTCAATCTCCACACAGCAAATAGGAATCTCCTTATATTTATTATTCAGTGTCCTCTTGACCTTTCCCCTCTATCCTACTCTCTTCCCAAAGCAGCCCCTATTTTGTGCTCTGTATTCTTTACTCAAGCAGCTATGTCAATGCTATTATATTCTTCAACCTTCAAGTAGTTTTTGTCTTTATATTTTCACTGGAGTTGGGGAACAGAAAATGGAGGAGTGAATCCTAGGGAGCATGGAATTTTTTCACGTCTTTTAATTCTATTAATGTTTTCTCCCTTCATTCAAATTGAAAATTCACCAAATCTGATTCCCTACAGGATGTTACAAAGAGCCATTCCTCCCCCACCGTCTGCCCCTCCTCCCCCTACAGTGTAACCATGATTTCTAAGACTGCATGATTTTAATAAGGATTCTTGGCAGATCTGATGAGACAAAACCTTCTGTCATTGGTGATACAATTTACTGGGTTATTAAGGCATCTCTTGTCCCCATGAAAGTCAGTCCTTCCATGCTTGTGTGTGCAGCAAGGAGTTTAAAAGCGTTGGAAGACACCACGCATGTGTTAATTCGTGCTGCAGCAGCGAGCATCTCTTCCACTTTGACCTCAGAGTTAATCTGCCTGATAGTTAACCGCCCAGAGACTCTTTGATCTTTTTAAAAATTTCTTTTAAACACACACACACACACACACACACACACAGCCCTAGCCCTGCCTTCCCACTCTAAAAGAAAAAGGGGGAAAAAAAAAAAGAAAGAAATAAAAACAAAGCGAACAAATAAACAGACCTAAAATGATGGACCTGGGGAAGTATGTGAGAGTGTGAGGGGCATGAGTATGTGTAGAGTGTGCGCGCATCTCTCTCCCTTATTTGTCTCGGTGTGCGTCTCTCCCTTACCCTCCCCCTGCCTCAAATACATTATTCCCCCAGACTTGGAAGCCGCTCCCAGAGCTGACGCTTTGATGGTATCTGCAAGCGTTTGTGCCGATCTTATTTCTGCCCCCTGAATATTAATTTCCAAAGCTGATGGCAATACAGCTCCCCACTGTCGGGACCTACTAGAGGCAGGTGGGGGGAGCCACCATCAGATCATAAGCATAATAATAATACAAAGGGGAGGGATTCTTCTGCAACCAAGAGACTAGAGGCAGAGGAGGAAAAAGAAAAAAAAAAAAAACCCGATGAGTTCGACAAATACATGGGGCACAGGAAGCTCAGACTACTCGACTCCTGTATTTTCACAGAAAATGACGGTGTGGATTCTGCTCCTGCTATCGCTCTACCCTGGGTAAGATGGGCTGTTTTCAGCGTTGTTTTGTTCCGGAGGGGTGGGGGAGGGGGGTGGGGGATGTGGAACTAGGAAGACCACCCAGATTTTAAACCCTGTTCTAGGATATGGGGTTATAATTTAGGGGAATGTGAAAATACAGGGTAGAAGATAGAGGAAAGAAGAAGGTCACTTTGGTTTATTTATTAATTTATTAGATTTTATTTGTTTTGTTTTAGAGTAGAAAAGCTAACGTCATAAAGACTTTGTGTTTGGGGGGTAGCATTTTCATAATACTGCAATCTGATATTGAGGTGGACTGTGCTGGTACAAGCCGGCATTTGAGGCCATGTTGGAGGCGTTTTGGGTGGGGGTCTGGAGGAGAAAACTGCAAAGGGATCCTGGAGAATACCCAGGAGATGTGTGTGTGTGTGTGTGTGTGTGTATGGGGGGGAGGGGTTCTGTTCCTGTTCACCGAAGTATTGCTTGTTCCTGTACCTGAGCATTCTTTAAGATCAGTCAGCCAGATTTTCTATTCAGCCCCATTGACCTGGCAACGGATTCCCTGATGGGCAAACATGGTTCAGCACCAGGGACAGCAGTCCCAGTTAGGGCCAAAAGGAAAGAGGCTTATCTAGCCCCATAGGATATCTAATTCTATATAGGACATCCCTATAGTACAGATGGAAGGCCAAAGGAGCCAAGGAGTACTAATGACCTCTGGCAGCCCTGTTCTGATTTCCTTACCCCCTCCTTGAAGATGGGAGGGGGCACGGGGTGGAGAATTTAGTTGATGAATGCATAGGGAGGATATATGATTAGAAAACACTTGGTCTTGCTGCAGTGTTGAAAAAAATAAGCTGAACCAGGTGAATGTTAAGCCAAAATTGTCAAGTTAGGCACTGATGCCTTAAAGCCTTGCTGCACTAAATGGAAAAGATGGGAAGAGGGGAGATGAATCCCCCCAAACCCTGAGCCAGTGTGTGCTCTGAAGTGTTTTGCACCTAAATTTTCTTGAACTTTATTGCACCAAAAGTATCAGGGAATATTCCTCCACCTAAAAGCATTATTTATCTACATACCTAATTAGCCCCTGATGCCACACATATACATTCCCTCAGGATGTCCAGCCAGGACCAAAGGCAAGTTAGAGGTGGATTATTTACATTTCTTGCTTTCTTCCATACTGTCATTTTGAAGTAAACTCTATAAGAATTACTCTCATACTGCCCTCCCCCCAAATAAGAGAAAAAAATATCTATAGAAGAAATCAAGCTCTTGCCCTAAGGTGTTCATGGGAGTTGACACTCTTATGTAGTAGTTGTAACAAAAGGAGATAAAAGGGAGAGGAGTTAAGCTATTATTTTATCAAAATATTTTGAGTTAACTTCTTTGGTCCTCCATTCTCTAGGGTAGGTAATGGGAGATGCAGATTTCTGATTAAGAAGAGACTCAGAAAATAAGGTGTGAAAGCTTTTTTTTTTTTTTTTTGAGTTTCTAAACAGAGACAGTGTCTGCTTAATTCTTTCAGCACTCTTCATACCTTTTCCCTTTACTTTAAAATAGAATGTGTTTTCATTAAGAGTATGAGATGAGGTAGCTTTCTCAAAAGTGGAGACAGCCTTTTACTGGAAATGTTTCATGTGCAATACATTTGAGTGGAATCCTGAAAAAACATTTTTTCTATTTAAAATTTGCACATATGTTTTTCTGTCTAATGTTATGTATAGCTCTTAATTTGTTTCAGAAGTTACAGAGTTGGTAGTTGTTTATGGATAGAAAATCATTCTCACATTCCTAACATTTATGAAACCTGTGGATTGAAATTTAGACAAGACAGGGAAATAGGTCTTTCCTTCCTATTCATGTCTATCTTAGTAAACAGTTTTTAGCTAAATAGATGAATACATTATTATTTATCTCTGATGGCCTTGTTTTAATGAAAAATATGTAATTTTATTATTATTCATGATGGTATCATGTTTAAGATGTCTTTTCATTGCCACAGCTCTGACTTTCCTTTTCCAATTATTATATAAAAAGTAAAACTTAGTGTTACATTTTAATGTTTAATTCTTTGCATACTATCTTAGATGATTTTATAAATAGCTCTGAAGAATGGGAATTATGTGTCATGTAAACTCTCCAATAGGATTTTCACATTTTTTCAGTAATGAGAGGGAATGGAGTCATTGCAGTTTAGTGCAGAGAATGCGATCAGAGTTTGTTTGCTGCAACCCCATTAAAAAAAAAAAAAGCCATTTGAGTGGCTGAATAGGGCTGGATGGAAATAGAAGCTTTGATGTCTAAAGCTGATTCTAAAGAAGGACAAAAATCATCTGTGAAAATGTGGGATACTGGGAGCCAAATTAAAAGAGGCTTTTTGGGTAAATAGTGGAAGTGGAAGCACCTAGAAAGTTGAAGAGGAATTTGAAAAACCCAAACATTTTACTGACTTTTTCATTTCCATAATTCCAAAGAATAAGTTTTTTTCTTCATTAAATTGATTAAATTTATTATATTGTGCTTATACAAAAGTAAAGGAAGGATATAAAGCATTGAGGTGAGGATATTAATAGCTAGTATCTCTTCTTATGTGTGGAATATTATTTGCTGAACCTCAAAGTTATATAAACTGTCCTGAATCTTGTATATAGTGCTACCAAAAGAATTACCTAGAATGCTAAAATGGAGATTTCTGAACCATACATTGAAAAATTCTGAATCATTATGTCTGGGATGGAACTCAGGAATATTCATTTTCAACAAGTACCTTAGACCACACATTGAAGAAAAGTGGTATTTACTTTGCTGATTTCAAAAGTTTATTTACCACCATATTAAATATTTACAAGTGCTTTGATTATTGCTACTTCATTATTCAACTGAGCATAATGAGTCAATTTCACATATAGAATGTTTTATTTGAAAGTCATTGGGCATATTATACAAACCACAAAGCATAGGGAATACCTATAAAGAATTTTAATAAATGCAACTCATGTGTGAGGTAACTATTCGCTGAAAAAATAAAATATGCATATACATATGAAAGTGTGTAATTATATTCACTACATACAGTCTATGTACAAATACTCATACATACAGGTTTTAAAACAAATTTCACAATCTTATAAACTCTTTCAATGCAACTACATTCTGTCTTATAGTAAAAATACACTAACAAGAAGAAATGGAGATACAACAGAAAACTTTTTAGAATAAATTGGAACTAAGTAGAATACATTGTTATTTCTATTGTAATAAATAAAATTTTTATAACAATGAATTTATTTCAAGGATAGATTGGAGATGAATTTGATTGACTTTTTGATCCTTAATGTAATCCTAACTTTGAAGTACTAACAACTGAATTAAAAAAAAAATAAGTTAAAGATTCATAAATATTTTCTGTTCTTGCTGTTGCCTGAACTCCTAAAATGCTTTAGGAGACTTTTTTGTGAGTTGCTGAAGTTTTTTATCCCATAACCATTTTTCTCATCATTTTTTAACTTTAAACAGGCTATGATCCTTCATGTAGAGGGGACATTGTGATTCTTCATTCTAAGCCTGTTAGTTAACAGAATTAGTCTCTACATACAACCTTACTTTGTCCTATCTTTCCAAAAGCGCCACTTGGCTTTATCTAGAAAAAAATAATTTCCTCAGCATACTTAATTGCTTGGTTGTAAATACACCATTTCTAATAATCTATCCTGAGGCAAGCATCTACCTGGGGAGGGAAAAAAAAAGAAATATTATCACCCAGTATTTCTCAGAATCCAGCTGCCCACCACCCTCCAGACAAAACATTTAGATTGTAGGCAGGAATTTAAGAATTGGCTTTTAATTTAAATAGTTACATAAATGTCTCTCTGATATCATAGGCTTCATTTAGAATAATCTCATAATAATTGAATTATGGAATATTTAATGATCAAGGTCTCTGTTCTACATACTTGAAAATCTGCTTCCATATCAAGAATTTTTCAAGTTGAAATTAAGACTAACTTTACCTTTGTTTAAATATGATAGTAGGGCTATGGCTTCTTGTCACCGTCACAATTCCTAGTCATTCCAAGACAGGATTTTCACAGTATGAATACAGGTAGGCTTTGCTGGAATGACACATACTTGTGGTTGAAGGGGAACAGGTATATATTTTTGTCTCACTACATAGACTTTGGTTCTACAACCAAACTTGAGTTCATGGCAGGGTTTCAATTATTACAAAGGATCTTTGCTTTAAAAAACATTCTTGTTTTCCCCAATATTAAGTTATTTGGTATTCATATGGTTTTCCTTATTAATGGGTGGAGTGTGTAATATAAATTTAGTGTTTACATTGCACTTTGTAGAGTTATACAATGATTTTTATAATGATATAGAATTATTACCATATTTTGCACTCTTATCATAATATTATAGGGATTAATATGATTGGGAGTTAAATTTTATTTTTACTCTAAGCCATTAATGTGTAACTTAAATAAGGCTTTTTATTTTCTTTTAAAGGTTATTTATTCTCTAGAAAATGGGAGAAATGAATAGCAAATAACCCTCCCAGTAAAGTCAACTGGAGAGGCCTTTTATATCTCAAAACAATCCAAGTATTTTCTTACCTTTGGAAAGAAGAGGGCTGGTTATACTTGTGTACTTTGGATTATTGCCTTAGGAATTTGACTAGGGGAGTCTTCATCCTGTTCTACAACTAATATTCAAGAAGACTGGAACTAGTGCCTTATTTTCTCCATCTCTCATTTCCTATGGCTATCATACTATCTTCCTTATCAGACTCATGAGACTAGAGAGATAATAAGAATGTGCATGCAGATATTCTCAGAAGAAAATGAAGCCCCAATTTCTAGTTGTAACTTCACATTCCTTTAACATTAAAGCATATGCACTTTGGTTGTTACTGAATTCCAAAGTTAATCAAGCGGTTGCTTATATGATTGAGGCGATTAAAATATCAAGTGTAAATATTTATATATTGCAGATAGCAATGCCTGGGTGGCTCA